CTCCCAAGGAAAAAAGAAAAAAGTAAGGCGGTCCCAGAAGAAGAAGGCGACCAAGCCTAACGGGAAGGCTGTGATGGCTGATGCGCTTTCCAGGCTGGAAGAAGAGGACGACTCGTCCTCCTTCGAGCGAATGTCTGCTTTTGACCGTTTGGGAGACCCCAAGTCAAAGAAGCCTCGGACCTCTGCGTTCGAGCGGCTGTAGGACACTCAGTCGGCCCGAAAAGGCGACTTGAGGGACACGCTCAAGGAGAATAGAGGGGAGTCCACATCGACCTCCAAGGTCGGTTCTGAGGAGCGACGGACGACCGTCGGGGATAAGGGTGCTGCTGAGCTGTGGAAAATGTTCGAACAACTGGAGAAGCGGCTGGACGCCCAAAACCCTTATCGCGAAGCGGTCTTCAGTGAGGTAACGCCCTTCTCCAAAAGGATAATGTCCTGCCCTCTCCCAGATAATTTAAAGACTCCCCAAATCAAGGCGTACAACGGGACGACCGATCCCCAAGACCACCTCGCTCGCTTCGGGGCTAACGTGGTCATGTATGCGTACCCAGAATAAATCAAGTGTCGATGTTTCCTGGCGACGCTGGAAGGGCAGGCTTGTGAGTGGTTCCACAAGTTACCCAAGGGGTCGATAGATAAGTGGAGCGACCTGGCCCACAAGTTCTTGGAGCACTTCGCATCCAGCCGAAGGCAGAAGCTCCCCTTCTCGCATCTGCTCAATGTGAGGATCCGGAAGGGGGAACAGCTCCGGGAATTTATCAATAGGTGGGAGAAGGAGGCTAGGGACGTCCAAGGGGCGGACGACCAGGCCCAGATCGCTATGCTCCAAGCTGCACTCCCTCAAGGGGATGTGCGCAAGGAGCTGCGTCGGAATCCTCTCTCAACCTACCAAGAGATGTTGGCCAGGGCGAAGTACTTGGCATTAGAAGAAGAAGATGATGAGCCACCAGTCCGGAAGGAGAAGAAAAACGGGCCACCGGTGGCAGAAGGGAAGAAAAGAAAGGACTATGGAAAGGGGCCAAACCCCACCGGGTATCATGTGAACAGGCATCCTGTTCATGCGGTACAGTCGTTACCTGCTCCCCCTCACAGTCGGGAAAGCTATGGTGTGCAGGATGCACCCAAATATTGTGAGTACCACCGTAACAGCACCCACAATACGTCGGAGTGCGTTACGTTGAAGAAGGAGATGGACCAGCTGATCGCTAGAGGGCCACCTCCTCGGACGGAACGACCATCCTCAGGTACCCGGACCTGGAGGAGGCCTCCAGCCCCTACAGCAGCGATCACAGCAGGAGAGGGGCAAGAAGATGGACGGCGGCACCTAGGACGAGATTGTGACGACTTAGATGAAGAGGAAAGGCAAGGTCGCCGACACCTGGGGTGTCGGTTCATCATGGGGGGAAAAACGGGAGGAGATTCAGTGTCCTCCCGGAAGAAATGGAAGAACATGGTGTACCTGGCCGAGGTACAGAGGCCGCCGCTGCCTAAGCGGAAGAAGAAGGAACCATTGATTTTCATAGATGAGGATTATCCCCCAGTCCTCGGCCCTCATAGGGATGCTCTGGTGATAAAGGTGGAGATCAATAATGTGGTTGTTCATCGAACTTTGGTCGATACGGGTAGCTCGGTCAACGTTATGTACAGCAACACCTTTAAGGAGTTGGGGTTGTCCCGAAACGACCTGAAACCAATCCATACACCGTTATCGGGGTTCACAGGGGATACCATTGAGGCTGAAGGAACTATCACAGTGAAGGCTGGGGTAGGAGATGGCACCCACCGGCTCTGGATCGACATGGAATTTATGGTAGTGCAGCTCGACTGTGCACACCATTTCATCCTGGGGCGACCAGGGTTGGAGGATCTAGAGTGCGTGATCTCCCCCGCACACCTATGCCTAAAATTCAACACTCCCTCAGGAGTGGGGGTGGCCAAGGGGAACCAAAGCCTGTCACGGTCGTGCTATGTCAGGGCGACCAAGAGCCAAGCCCGGGTCGACAAGAATGCAAGTACGATCTGCGCTGCAATCCAGAAGGAGGAGGGGCGCCCGCGGGCTGAGCCGGTGGAGGAGGTCGAGGAAATTTCTTTGGACCCGGTCGAGCCAGAGCGGAAGGTGAAGGTAGGAAAAACCTTACCGCTTGAATTAAAAGAACAGTTATTGGAGGTCCTCCGAGCATTCAAAGTGCTATTCGCTTGGGGGCCAGAGGATATGCCAGGGGTCGACCCAAAGATCATCTGCCATAGATTGGCAGTAGATCCGACCCACAAGCCGGTCAAACAGAAGAAGCGTTTCCTTTCCTCAGAACGGAGAGAGTTTGTCACCAAGCAAGTGACCACCCTGCAATCCATTGTGCACATCCGGGAAGTCCGTTACCCGGAATGGCTTGCAAACGTAGTCCTCGCACCCAAAGGGAATACCTGGCGGATGTGCGTCGATTATACTGATCTAAATAAAGCCTGCCCGATGGATCCTTTTCCTCTCCCCAACATTGATCAATTGGTTGATGAGACGGCAGGATGTGAGCTGATGAGTTTCATGGATGCATTCAGCGGATACCATCAGATCAAGATGGCCGTGGCGGACGAAGAGAAGACCGCTTTCATTACCCCCCAACGGGGTGTACTGCTACAAGGTGATGCCCTTTGGTTTGAAAAATGCTGGGGCGACCTATGCACGGATGGTGAACAAGTTGTTCGCGCCAGTGCTGGGGGGATGCATGGAAGCATATGTGGACGACATGATTGTCAAGTCCAGACGGGTTGAGTCCCATGCCGGCGACCTGGAGAGAGTGTTCAAGATCATGAAGAAGTTCCAGCTTCGCCTTAACCCTAAGAAGTGTACATTTGGGGTTCAGGGGGGCAAGTTCCTAGGACACATGGTCAGTCGGAGGGGAATTGAGCCTAATCTAGAGAAAGTGAAAGCAATCTTAGAAATGGAACCTCCGAGGAATGTGAAGGAGGTCCAGCAGCTGACCGGCAGGATTGCAGCTCTCAGTCGCTTCTTGTCAAAGATAGCCGATCGAGCAGCTCCTTTCTTTCAGACCATCAAGAAGAGCAGAGGGTTTATCTGGACCGAAGAATGTCAACGGTCCTTTGAAGGGTTGAAAGCATACCTCCTCTCCCCGCTGGTGCTTTCAAAGCCAGAGCCCGGAGAGACCTTATTCTTATACTTAGGAATCTCTCCTCGAGCTGTGAGCTCAGTGCTAGTGAGGGAGGAGGAGGGCGCACAGCGACCAGTATACTATGTGGCACGGGTGTTACGAGGGGCGGAGCTGAGATATACAAACATGGAGAAAACCATCTTTGCGGTGGTATGTACGGTAAAAAAGCTTACCCCATATTTTCAAGCCCATCCGGTCCACGTGTTATCACAGATTCCTATTGGAACACTTCTTCGAAGCCCAAATGCCCCATCACGGGTCAGCAAGTGGGGGGTGTTCCTGGGGTCTTTCCAGATAGAGTTCAAGCCGCGACCGGCGATAAAGGGGCAAGCATTAGCAGATTTCGTGGTAGAATGCACCGCAAGAGAAGTAGGACCTAGCGGAGAGGAACCCGAAGGAAGTTGGTGGACTGTGTACACCGATGGATCGTCCGCCACTGATGCTTCGGGGGGAGGAGTCGTGGCGATATCACCAGAAGGGTTCAAAGCTTACTACTCTGTGAGGTTCCGATTTAAAGTCTCGAACAATGAGGCCGAGTACGAGGCATTACTTTGTGGCTTAAGGTTGGCAGCCTCATTAAGAGCTGAACGGATCCAAGTCCGGTGTGATTCTAAGCTCGTAGTAGGCCACGTCACTGGAGAGTTTGAGGCTAAGGATGAACGAATGAAGAAGTATAGAGACACTGCCCTGGAGTTGCTTAAAGCATTTGGGGCGTACCGGATAGAGCAGGTCCCTTGGGAAGAGAACGCTGAGGCAGATATCTTGTCGAAACTTGGTCCGGATTCCCCGGATCATATTAAGGCAATGACCCAAGAAGAAGAGTTGCTCGAACCAAGCATCAGTCCCGGCCAAGTGCTGATCATCGCACTCAAAGAAGAGCCGGATTGGATTGATCAAATTACCATGTACATCCTTGACGGGTCGCTACCTGCCGACCCAATCGCGGCAAAGGTGGTGAAGCGACGTGCACCCGGCTATACGCTGGAGTGCGATCGTCTGTACAAGCGATCGTATAATGGTACATTGTTGAGGTGCTTAAGAGCGGGCGAGGCACAGAAGTTAATGGAGGAAATCCATGAGGGAATATGCTCAGCACATCAGGGAGCCTTCACGATGTCCAGGAAGGTAACCCTACAAGGATACTTTTGGCCAACGATTATTAGAGACTGTGCAGAGTATGTGCGCAAATGCAAGGTTTGCCAGGAGTTCCAGAGGGTGCCGGGGCGACCGGCGACGAATTACACCCCGATAAGTACGGCGATTCCCTTTGCTCGTTGGGGCATCGATCTGGTCGGCATTTTGCCTCGGGGGACAGGGAACAACACGTACCTGGTGGTCGCGATCGACTACTTCACCAAGTGGGTCGAGGCCGCCCCC